ACTAAATCTATCGTCTGATTTCACCAAGTTGGACTATATACTCATACTGGCAGGATCCAATGATGCCCATATCAGGGGTTGCATATACAGTGAGTCGCTAGGGAGAATTCTTAGAAATATGGGACACACTAACACCATAGTAGCAACAGTTCCAGAGTGGAAATGCAGGCGTCCCGTACTAAATAGTATAATTCAAGGTATTAATGATCAAATACGTTTTACTGCAAGGGAAAATACCGCAAACCTCTTAGATATAGACAGTTGCCTTCAACATTATCACTTCAAGAAAAACTCAAACATGTTTAATAATGCTGGTAAACACATGATATGTAACATAATAAAGGATATCATTACCTCAAAAAAAGTGAACGCCGATGCTGATGACACATCGGCTGTAGTAACTGCAGATTCGCCTGAAGATCTGTACCTTAACATTGGAATCATAAAATCTGAGATGGAAGTGTGGTGCCAAACAAATCGTCTGATCTTGAATGCTGACAAGACGGTAGTTGTTCACTTTTACTCTAGTACTCCACGTCTCATTAACAGAACTATCTCAGACTCTACGACCTTCCTGGGTATTGAGTTGGATGCAGGATTAAATTGGAAGCAACAAGTTGACAGTGTATGCAGGAAAATCAATAGGTCCTACTATGCGATATTGAAATTAAAGCCAAATGTCCCCAAATCAACCCTGATAGATGTGTACTACGCAATGGTGTATTCGCATCTGTCAAATCACACCATCGTCTGGGGACAAGCATGCACCGCGTCCAGAGTGTTTATTTTGCAGAAACGTATTGTAAGGCTGATATTTAACATTAAAAGGAGAGAATCATGTAGAGCAATATTTCAGCATAATAACTTGCTAACGCTTCCGAGTATATATATTTATAAATGCGCCCTCTACACCTTCAATCACAGGGGCCAGTTTCTGCAGAACAAGGACTTAAACACGAAGTACAACACTAGAGCGAAACAGGACTTGAGTATACCTTCGCATACACTGTCAATGTTCGAAAAATCACCAGCCTACGCCTGCACCAAGGTATTCAATAAGTTGCCATCAATACTAAAAGATATTAGATGCTCAAATAGGTTCAAGAAAGAGCTGAGGAGTCTGTTAATAGAAAGATGCTACTACTCAGTATCCGAGTTTCTTTCAGGGTAAGAGTGATGCACCAAAAAATTAAATAGGCAACTATGGCTGTATACGTTATATATATATATGTGTATATATGTATATGTATGTGTGTCTATATGTATGTGTATATATGTGTATATATATATTATGTATGTGTATATATGTGTGTATATATTTACTCGTATATGCGTACCTATTATTTTTTTTCTATTTTTATTGTACTTACTTCTTTTACACCTTAATCTGTTTATTATTATTGTATCTGTTGTTTTCTCGACTAAACTGTGTTTTTTTCCATTTTTAACCGACAAATTTATATATTTATACTTAACTATATTTTTAATTTTTGTAGATAATAATGTACTCATAGAGATATGCCTGACGAGTCTTATATCATTTTTATGATCCGAAGACAATAAAGCATCTATCTATCTATCTATCTATCTAAACCTTATTACTTGAAGGAAAAAATTTCATTTAATAATGATGTTCACTGTAGAACTCTCAGAGAAAATAATATTAGAATACCCCTGCATACGTTTACACTTTTTAAACGCAGTTTTTCTTACAATGTTGCTATTATTTATAATGACCTTCCTAAAGTATACGTTACATATAAAGAATTTTCATTACCTGTCTTTCGACAAAAAGTTAAAACATTATTACTCAACCCTCCAAACATATAATTTACGTAATCATTCATTTCTTTTTTATTCCATCTTTAATTTAGATTAATAATTTTTTGGTGCATTTGGGTTTGGAAAGTATGCCTTTTTTAAATTTTACTTTCGATGTAATGAACCAAATCTGTTTGTGGATAGTGTATTCTTTTGAACATCTGCTAGAGACTATATGGTTAAGTGTAGCAGCATGCTAAACTTCGCCATATAAGTCTGACATTTGGCTATACTACAATGTAGTTGTGGATAAATAAAGACGTCTATTATTATTATTATTAAATGTAATAGAATAATTCATTAAAACTAAACAAACACTTGACCTAAACTAAATTTAATATCTATAGTTAAATCGTTTTTCTTGGAGCAGGTATGATATCTCATTATAAATAGTTCATAAATTTTAAATAAATGTTGTTGCCCATCTAAGTAAATGCTTTACTGAATTCAATTAAACGATCGCGTTTTGGTTTAATTAGGATAGATACAAGTGAACTGTTTTAGAAATCGAAGTTTAATTTATCTGATTAATTTTGTTAGCTGTCACATGGATAATTAAATCTTTTAATTGGCCTAATTTAAATTTTAATTGGTTCAATTATATTTTTTCTCAGTGCAGTTGACTCAAATCAAGATCGTTTTGCAGAGTGCAAAATTGATGAAAGGTACAAAGCTAAAGAATATGGTGGGCGCTTAGATCCCAACCAAAGCCTTGAAATTCCTCTTTTTTTGACTATTGTACTGTGTGTTCCGGCGTTGTCATGGTACATAACCATGTCCTTCCTATTTGTTGATGCTGGACGCACCTCCTGCACTACTTTAGACAGTTTATCAAGCAAACTTTTTCCCTCGCGATTCCTCACACGCAAGTAGTCTGCTGAATCTCTTTCTGGCCACGCATCCTATACCTACTGTCATGTCTCCGCTGGGTTACTCAGATCGTGGTGTTGTGGAGGTTAGGTTTAGGTCAGAACCGTCTGTGGAACCAGAAACTCGTCCAGGCCGCAAAATCTGGCATTACGGACATGCCACCTGGGAAGGGCTCAGAGATTTTTTCTGCTCCTTTCCTTGGAGAGGTGTTTTTTTCGCTGACTCGGATGCGTCGGCTGCCTGTTCATCAATAACCGAAATTATCCACGTTGGGATTGAGGAATGCAGTGAAAGTGTCTAAATCAGGGTTAGATGGCTGCTTCAACAAATCAAGCACTGCTCGCCAGCAGATGATCAAGCCACACAGAACCTTCTTACAAAATTCCACTGTAGAGAACAGAAAAGCCGAAGTCAAGTCCAGAAACAAATAACGAAGTGCCAAAAGCCAGTATGATGCAAAAATTATGCAAAAGGCAGACTGGACGGAACTTCTCGCAGAGTAGCCATCCAATACTTACGTGCCAGGATAGAACAATTGTAACCAACTCAAAGGCTACGGCGGCAGTGCTTTCCAGGATCTTTGCTGTCAACTCCCCCCCAATGCCCGAGTGCTGTCGATTCAAAGGAGGAAGTAATATTTAGGCATAAGACCGTAAGACGGGTGCTCTTGTCGCTCGACATAAACAAAGCTTCTGGCCCGGACTTGATTCATGCCGTTGTATTGAAGAGATGTGCAGGGGAGATTGCCTCAGTTCTTTCGCGTCTCTTCCAGATATCTTGCGACTCCGGCACTTCACCAGAAAACTTAAAATTTGCACCTCTTATATCTAAAAAAAAATAATCTGCAATCTTACAACTACAGGTCTATAGCTCTGCTTTCTGTTATAAGTAAGCTGATAGAAAGGTACATAAATCGGGAGCTTCTGGAGTACCTCTAGCTTGATTAGCGACAGAGACACCTCCAAGCTTACGCACTCCAGTCACAAATACGAAATGTTTGAATTTGTTTAGAAGAAAAAAACGTTCCCTTTATTTTTCGCATAAAAATAAAATTCATCTTTCGGAATGTATATTACTCATTAAACTAGCAGTGATGGCCGGAAAACAAGTGTTTTGGGATAAACAATTAGAAATTCTCAAAAAACTTGACCAATATACTCCAATTTTGTTGTTGATATTAAGAAGTATGAATCCTAGGGATTTTAAGAATTTCAAGTAGTTGCGTGAAATTATCGCCGCATTACCAAGTGCCAAAACCTGCATTTTGCCTCGTTTTTCGGCCATAACATTTTTGCTTTTAGTCGGATCTTTTTACATGTAGTCTCATTTTGTAGGTCTCATAAATACCTAAAAATCTTAGCTGAAAAGTTTTTTGTTCCTGTCAACACTCTCTATTGAATCCCAAAAAACACATTTTCTCATTCTTTGTTGTCAAATAAAAAGTGTTCCCACAAAAATTGGTGTACCTATTTTATGCGTCCATGTTTTAAATACCCCCTTGAACAAATGGCCCCGATAAAAACAGACATAACAATTATTTCGGAGACATTTGCTATTATGATTGGACTAATATTCTGAACGCTTGACAATATTTCCAATTTTAGTTTTTTTACTTCTATTTACTAAATAATTTTTAAAATTGTAAATATTGAATACTGATGCAATTTCATTAACAATTTTTCCCTATCTATAGCCTCAAATGCCTTTTTAAAGTCTAGAAATACTGGTACAGTACATTTTTTCGCATCTATACTTCTCCAGTCTTCCCTGACCATTTGGGTTGCTGTTTCTGTAGAATATGACTTTCTAAATCCAACTTGATATTTTGTCAAAATTTTGTTTTCAACTAATTCAATGATTTGATCGTATCTTCAAACAGCTTCTCGACATCTAGTAAGACATTAATCGGCCGCATATTTGTATATAGCTCAAAAGGTTCAACTTTTGGCCGAACACTTTAATTTTGATGGAAAGTCACCACGCACTAAACAATTATTCACCAATAATAATAATTTCTCTCCAATTATACTGAAACAATCATTTAGAATCTGTTTTGAGAGACTCTCAGGATTTTTATTAGATTTCAACTCTGAGTTAGCTTTTGTTTATTTAATGTACTAAATTGATTCATTGATGAGTTACGTTATACTTTTAATGAACTTAAGTTACGATCACCGTCATCAATCGTCTCCACTATTTAATTTATAGTCTCTATAAAATAACCGTTCATTCTTTCTGCTATAATTATTTCACTACCCCATCTTCGGAACGTATTTTAGATAATTCTTACACTTAAACTTCTTTTACAGGATCACGAAAATGGTATGAAAGTAATTTGGTCAACAAAGCCAGGCAAAGATGAGAAGTCCATTTTGATCGATGATTCTGCTTCCTTAGCAGCTAGTCAATTTTTAGAATACACTACTGCCATTTAACAACTCAAAGAAAAATTCAAAATAAAAGCTTCATGAACTAACTGCATTTTCGTTACATGCCGAGAAAGTGGGCCAAGTAGGTTGGTTCTATTCTTCCCAAGACATCACAAATACGAGGTTTTGTTTGTGAAACTTTCTTAAACATATAGGAACATTACACCAAATGCATTAAAAAAATAATGGGAGTTTTTTCCAGTAACACCACCGTTTTCGTCTTGCTCTAAGTGGCATAGTGTAAAGATCAGTGGCGTAGCTTGCTCCCTAGGGGCCCCATATGAAAATTTGTAGGGAGCCCTACCTAACGAATCCTAACTCAAACATTTTGTTCCTTTAGCAAGGCTTGTCTTGACTTCTGGAAAATTTGAAGACAATCATATTATGTTAATGCTTAGAAACTAGCGAGTCAATCTACTTGCCATTATTTTTTTTTCTAAAAAAAAATTATTAAAGAGGGAGACGATTTTAGTGTTTCTAAATTTTCAGCCTCTGAAAATACTACCATACTTGATAGTCAAAGTCCTAAGGTATTTTAATTACCTTTAATTTCGAAAAGCTTCCTTCAGCACTTGTAGTTGTTATGTAGAGGGTTAATAATAGGAAGCATTTTACTATCACCTAGCCGTACAATCAAAGATTTAGCACTTGAGAATTAATAATTTAGCGTGCGGCCTTAAGACTTGCGTGAGATTGTGAAAAACATTTTACGTATTTTGTTCCGAACCTGGGGGTCCCTGTAAGCTGGGGGCCCCGTATCATCGATACGGCTGATAGGGCTGTAGCTACGCCCCTGGTAAAGATTCATCATTCACCCCGTATTAGTAATGTACCAATTTCTGGTAGTACTAGCGTATTCAAGGGAACAGCTTTGGGGCTCAAGCCCCCCTCAAAACCCCAACGGCCTAATATCTACCATGACGGCCAAAACCGCGTCCCTACTGACATTTGTCATCCTGATGACATTCGTAGTGCAAGAAATCTTGTGTATGAGCGAAGATACGCACTCTATAAAGTACAACCCATTTCCTTATGGAAATTGAATTATCTTAGTTTATAAAGTATGTTACCTATCACATCCACCATTTTTTGAGGTCAAGCACGTCGTCGCCAATAAATGATCGGGAACTCCAAAATATACAAAAACGAGGTTTAGAATTAACTTTGCATCAATTTTTATGACACAAAACGTCCAAAATAACCTGTAACCTGACATCGGAATATTTCCGCGATAATGATAACTGATAATAGGCAAATTCACGTGACGACAGTTTCATCAGCCACTTAGGTATATCAGATTTCCGGTGTAGCTGATATATTTGGCGATTCAATTTTGAGCAAGGATTCTAAGATATTTACAAAATGCCGAGACATTTGTGACAGAAGCATATTAGCATTGAATTACGTAATCTCCAAGATGTCAAACCATATTCTGTATTTAGACGTTCGCACACAATTTCCATCGTAACAGCCGTTATTGCCAAGTAACATATGGTCTTGACATTTTGTAAAATCTAAGAATACTGTGCTAAAATTTGAATTACGATATATACATTATCTACACCGGAAAACTGATATAAGTGAAATATTCAATTTTGAACGTTTTTTAATCGATGCAAAGTTACCCCTAAAGCTCTTTTTTGTATCTTTTTCGAGTTATCTGGTCGATTGTGTACTTGCGTTGTTCGTAATAAGCAGTGGAGCGACTTTCTGGTGGGAATGCTCGGCTCAAGTTTTCCTCCTTGAAAAGTAGCAAAGTCGCTCAAAAACGATACCTGTGGATCGTTTTTATGTCTTTTCTCTAAGATTTGTCCCGCAGCCTTCAGTTTTCACTTCAAATTCCAGTTCAGCGCGAAAAAGTACGTGGGAAAGACACAAGGTAGGTTCGACATTCCCCCAGGACTACCGTCCCATTAGACTACTGTCAGCTCCTTCTAAGCCCGTCGAAAGAGTTTCATTGTCACCTTAAAGCATCCCACAAACCGGCGCGAAATAATCGCGGCGAAGTATTCGCAACGAAATTCAGAGCGAAATTCGCAATCTGTTTCACCTGTTTATTCATACCAAAACGTTTTATTCGCTCCGCGAACGTGAAGGTTTCGACAGGTTGCGTACATTTTATTTTTACCTTTTGCAATGAGCTCGTCTTCAGAAGAAGGGGAGGCACTTCTATTTCTTGCTTTAGAAGAGGAACAAAATGCACGGTAAGTTATGTTTATTTAACGCCATTTGATAGTTGGGTATGTATTAAGTTTAACGAAGTACATAAAATAAATATTTTCAATTTTGTTTAGGAAACGAAGGAAGTGGGTACATGATATTAACTTGGAACTAAATAAATTTGGGGAATACCATACCTTGATGCCACAACTTCGGCTGGATGAACAGCGCTTTTACGTATATTTTAGAATGACAGAGTGTTTCGATGAAATATTGAACTTGGTGAAAGATGAAATACGAAAATCTGACACAAATTATCGTGAAGCTATTTCGCCAGAAGAACGACTTGCTATTACACTCAGGTAAAAAAATTATATGTATTAAAATTAGTAGGCTTATCGAATACGAAAACTTCAGGGATCGTGAAATAAATATTTTATTGTAATAATTGGACTACATGTTGCCACTAGGATTAAATGTTGCTAAATAATTCGAGGCAAAATTTGCCTCCTCTGTTGGGTATATTATTGGAGTAAACCCAGTGCCGCTTGGGAAGGACGACATACTACTATCATACATACTTGCAGAATTCTGGGTAGACGCTGAAGACATTTCTTCAATATGTTCAAATTCTTCGTGCGCTATTAATTCGGCTATTTTTAGTTTTATTCGGGCTTGACGCTTTAAGGGAAGTGTTTTCAGTCTGTGCATGTGCCAAGAAAAGTGAATCAATGGCCTCGTTCTCTTTTTTAGGTTTTTTACCTTCAAAATAATCAATGAGCTGTTATACAGACGAAGATGGTGGTTCATAGCGTTTTCTGCTCGTTTTATATTTTGGTGTAGTTGCATTCTGCGGAAAGGTGTGCCCTGGAGTAGTCACTGCTGTAGTGTTCAATGAAGAAGGTGGTGCTGTTTGTGTTGCCGAGGCGTTCTGTGCATCTTCTGCATCTACATCAGCATTTTCATCTTCTCCATGGCCGCGGTCTTCCAAATTTTCGGTTTCTACATTTCCAGCCCTTTGCTGATATATATTTGAGTTAAATTCGGCAGTCTCATAATGTATGACGACAATATCTTTCACATTAGACGACGTTTTGGCAAATGCCAAAAAAGGACGGAAAAATTCCATGTAGTCAGCCCACTGCCATTTCTTTATGTTGCCCACTGCTTGGCCGGTCTTTGGTTTGGTAGATTTTATATATTTTGCAAATGTGTCTCTGATATTCTTCCACCTTTTTTTTACTTCATCATCTAAAAACGATTTTTTTATAGATTCCTTGCCACTGGTGACACCTTCTATACCATTGGGCATAGCTTTCGAGTTGGCTTTACAACAGTGAGTGCAATCGTAACCGAAGTCTGTGAAGCGATATGCAGACATATGGAGCATATATATTTACCAGAACCAACAGAGAATATATGGAAAAAATGTGCTGAAGAATTTGAAAATAGATGGGGATTTCCCAATTGCATTGGCAGCGTGGACGGTAAACATGTAACAATCAAGAGACCTAACAACAGTGGCTCCAATTACTGGTGCTATTTACATAAATATTCAATAGTACTTATGGCCATTGTTGGCCCGGACTATAAATTTATATGTGTTGATATTGGTGGTTTCGGAAAAAATAGTGATGGGGGTATTTTCGAAACTCCAACATGGGAAAACGATTTGAACAAAATTTAATGAGTGTCCCTGCACCTAGATTTCTCCCTGGGCAAAATGAAATCTGCTCGTACGTCTTAATTGGTGATGAAGCATTTGCTTTAAAACCATACCTTATGAGACCATTTCCTTATAAGCAGACTTTAACAGACGTCAGAAAAGAGAAATACAATGTAAGACTTTGTCGAGCTAGAAGGGTCGTGGAAAATGCGTTTGGTATTTTGTCTCAAAAATGGCGAATATTTTACAGGCCATTAGAAACTAAAGTAGATACTACTATTCTAATTGTACGTACGGCATGTGTTTTACACAATTTTTTACGAAGTAAAAGTGGCGATGACAAATATTTTCAATTCTTAGATCCCCCTGAACCCGTGCTTGGAGATTTTACTGATATAGCAAATGATCCTCGGCGGGCAGCAAGGCTAGCATTTTCTACTCGTGACAAATTCGTAAATTATTTTAATTCTGATATGCCTATGCCCAATATATACGTAGAATGTTCGTTTTCACATTTGTGTAGACTGTAAATTATTTAACAAGTTAATAAAAAATATTAGGTACATACCATTTGTATTTAATTCTTTTCCTATTTCCATCCAAATCTTGTCTTTCTTTCTCACATTCCTGTATTCATCGTTCGACAAATCATACAAACAAGGATATTTCTATCAATAATTCCGTTTTTGCCATTGCGAATTTTTGAAGAACGGCGTCAAAAACGCGGTCAAAGGCGAACTGAAATACGCCGCGAAAAAAACGCTGGAACAATCGCATTCGCTTCGCACAAGTCTGAGCCTGTCCGTAAACCGCGCCACGTTTTAATCTGATCGCGAATTCATCGCCGCGAAATTTTCGCAGCCAAAGCGAATATTTCGCGCCGGTTTGTGGGATGCTTAAACGTTTCTCGTCAGACTTTAGATTTCTATGTACAATTATATCTATCCCTTACCATCGCATCTCATAATCACGGTGATGTTCAAATTTGGCTGACGTCGTGATGTGTACCAGAGGGAAGCGTAAGAAGCGTGCAATATGTATGTTAGAAAGAATGCGCAGATGACATCCGTGACCTCGTACTCGGTTTGCTAAGCAACGCTTCTCGCGCTTCTCTCTGGTATACATTACCACATCCGTGGTATTTGGTTTTCAGTGTGCATGAGTCACAACATATATTTACGCGCAATCGCTCAACCATTTATAACTTAACTGAAGTTA